TTGAGAAATGACAACATAAGAAGAGCACGTTGTTGCGCTGAACTGATTGATTCCTGACTGAGCAAAGTAATGAATCTCTAACCTTAACTTACACAGAGCTGCCTCTCAATTAAATATAAAAGCAAACATTTTAACCACAAAAGACAACATCCATTTCCACGTAGAAATGCTTCAATTAACACAACCGTGGACCCCTCCCCTTTAGTTGGACATGGTATTTGACACAGCTCTCTAATTTATTATAGTTAGGTTATTTGATAACTCTTGTTAATTATAACCACACAATGCCAAAATTAATGATTTTCCCACCCTCTTTCAACTTGAGAATGAATTCATAACTTATATCAAGACTCGAAAGCTGTGCAATTAATGTTGTCAGTAACCACTTCACAAAAGAGGTTTGTTAAAGCAATGCATGTGAACTCAATTAGTGTTCCAATTAATGTTGTTGTACTTGATCTATAAATTATTGAAAAAAAATCATATAGCTATGATTAACAGAGCAAATCCATTCCCTGTCAATGAAATAAGCTCCTCACTGCCTCTCTTTGATTTTTCTTCAGAATTTTGCTGGATGCCACAAATTCTAGCTACCTAATCAGAAAAAAAATAAGTAAACGTAGAATTATCTGACAACTTGCAACACCTCATTACAGAGATGATGCTTTAATTGTTCTTAGCTGATTGTAATGTGGAAAAAAAATGTTATTGTTCCTAATACTTCTTAAACTGAGGTGCCAGTCTGTAAACAAACCTGTAAAAACTGCATTGAGATTCCTATGCAAGACAAACTCGCAGTCTTCACAACGGACACCTTCAACCTCTTCTCATATTTAGAAAATCTATAGACCAAAGTTTAGCTTCAAATGGACTCAAAGAAACCGGAAGCAGGGCTCAGGCAGCACTAGACCCCTACGATCAAAACCACAAAAGCCACAAAACAATCCTGCTTAAAGGCTACTTATGCCCAGAGTCTTCTAAACTCACTAGGAACCTGCTAGTTGATCTTAGCATGATTGGCTTCAGGAGATGTAAGGGGTCTCCTTCCGATGGCGAGATGGACTCCAGGCACTCACTAGAGCTTAAAAAAGCTAGGAAATATCTAGGAAATTGATATGGCTCTGCCAAAATCAAGGCACTTGTGTGTGAAGGCCGGCGTGATCTCATAAACACCAACTGCAAAGACTCTTCCCTTACCTGGCATTAAAAAGGTCCCCGAGTTGACTCCACTCTCTCACTCCTCAAAAAGGAAGATGCTTCAAATTTGGTATCCTGGCTCACTTCTCTGCTAAGCTCCCATTTCAGGTCTCCTGTTTAGGTTAGTTTTCCAAGAGGAGATTTTTCCAAGGTAGTTGTCAGTATGGATTCACCATCATTGCAGTACAGTTCACAGAAGGGCTTGCTGAAGCTCTTCCAAGAAGCTCAAATGCTTCCAAGAAGCTCAAATACATGTTTTCATTTGAATTCTTTAATGCATATACACACATCTATAAATGTATGTGTGTGTATATATTTATGGATTATACATTTATTTCAAAAAAAAAAAAATATCCCTGCACATTGCAAGAAAGCAGTATGGCTTATGGCTAATAAAACCTTTAATTTCTATCCAGAATGCTACAAACATAATACTTGTTAATCACTTCTCAGTGAAGTGACAGAGATGACATAAACAAATGAAAAACAGTCTTTTCACACTGTCATTTCAATTAGTTTCCTATACTTTTCCTAGCAGAACATGCAATTTAACTAGAAACGACCAAAGTGTCACTTGTCTTACAGTAGTAGGTTACAAATATCTGCAGAATTTAGCTCGACTGCCTTTTACAGAGCAACACGAAACCTCTTCAGGTCATGGTTTTAAAACCTCAGCAAGTTCTCACAAGGTAATTACAAGACAGAGATAAGTTACTAGTAGACAGTAGCCAAGAACGACATGAAGATTAGGGCGGGCGGTGGAGGATGGTGGAAATGCTGTTTTCCTTCCTAGGAGCCGATGCACGGCCAGTTCACACCTTAACCCACAGTGTGCAGAGGAGGATTGAGGAGGCTGATATTGATACTGAGGAGCAACAACCTGGACGGGGAGGAAGGTGCTCATCTCACCTCGGTTTTCCTAACTGCATCCTCCTCGTGTCCATTCACACTCCTGCCATGTGTTAGGAGTGAGACCTGGGCAATTTCCCGAACTTTTCAAGTCCTGGCAGCACGTTTATCCATCGAGTTAATACTGACTAAACACAAGGTAACAGCAGCACTTGATTTTTAGCAGTCTATTTTTTAAGATTGTTCATAGCAATAATGTTAATATACAAAAAAATACATTTTGATATTATCATGGCAACACTGAATCTACTCACATTACAGTTTTACAGCTGCATTTTACTTAAGAAAACAGTTTTCAGGAGAACTTATTGAAGATCTTGTCCTAGATGCAGTAAAAACACTTATGTGTTGGTACAGAATACATTTTTATAAACTAGCTCTAACGACAGCAGAGAGAAACCAAAGAGTTATAGAATGACAAAGTTATAAAGTTTATGGCTATAAAAACACTGTGCCTAATGAGGAGTGTTCTAAATAACCTCTCTGTAAGAGAACTGCTTCTGCATGCGACTACAAGGACAGAGGAGCATTCCCAATATATACAAACAAGCTTCCAGAAAATCTGAGCAACAATAATGCTATGAGCTCCATCTGCCTCAGAAATAAACCCACCAAATATCCTGGTTTTTAAGCCAGCTGTGACATGTTGTCTGTCCATCTCCCACTTACACATAAAACACTGCATCTGAGCGCTGCCAGGCACAGCTCCTCAATCAAGGTAAAACCCTCTTGATATCAAAGTGGAATTTACTAAGAGCTTTTATAAGAAAGTTTGCATATATCAAACTTTGCAGCTACTGAGGAACCCTGCAGAGCAAATCCAATTTAATTCTGGAGGAAGGGACTAACGTAGGGCACACGCTGAAACTTCCCTCCCCTTCATCCTTTTCTGACCAAACACACTACAGAGCGGGTATCATCTCCTCTGCTTCTGTAATCCAGGTGATACGAGCCCAAAAGCCACACACACAACCTGCTGCAAAGGGTTAGTCCATCCCAAGGACGGGCATTGGCCCTCGTTTAATGGTTTGTCTGTGGGCCTTTAACTTGTCGAGGCCATTAACTTGTCTGCTTAAGAAATGAGGATACAGTCTCTAGCTTGATTTGGAGACAGGCATTTCCCTGCGTTTTACATCCACAAAACAATTAAGCTTTGTAATGTATGAACACTTTATGCAGTAAGTACTGTTTTATTATAACCTCACACAGATGGAGTTAAAGATTTAGCACATACCACACAGAAAAGCTTGCAGTGGATGTAGAAAGTGCCCTGTCCCATGCTTTACCCCCATGCTACTGCTCCCTTTTCATCCTCAGGACAGTCACTCCGTTAGGAAGCTCATGTCACCGTTAGGAGAATTGTTCAATGTGGTACCAGAGAACTGCAGAGTTCATCACAATACCTGTGTTATTATCAGAGATAATAGCGGTAGAAGGAGATGCTGCATGGCTCTTGCCAAAACGCAACAAAAGCTGAACACACATTACAGCTGCAATTTCTATGATTAAAAAGCAAATACTTATTTCATGGGAAAGCTGTCACCAAACATTTTATACTTTTTTCTCAGCAGAAAAGGAACTCCCAGAATTTCCATTTTGAGAAACAGCCAGGTTTTTCCCCTCCACACGCCCCTCCACATGAGCACTCAACTATTATGGTTTGTGAAATTATCTTTTTTTCCAAGTTGAAAACTTTATTGGCATAAAAATAAGGCCTCTAAAATGGGTGTTCACTGGTTTTGAGAGTTTCATCCACCAGCAAAAGGAACATTACAGGGGACACACTGAAAGAACACTATTCATATCACGAAGAACTTAAAAACTTACAGCTTTACAAATTTACCTGCTTGCCCCCCAAAGTAAATGATGACACAACCAACTTTACTTTCTTTGCTTGCCTTGAGGAGCATCTGTCTTCAAACACACTTCATTTCACAAAGTTCTCATATTTTTGCCTTTCCAAAATGCAGTTTTTATTCTTTTTCATCTTAAACAAACTTTTTCTTCATTATGGAGTTGAAGCCTAGAGTAGCCATAAGAATTCTAAAGCATCTTCCACAACATAAGCTTAAAAATAGAAAATTTTCTTTCAGTCTCAGATTCATGTCTCTGTAGATTAATAAAAAGCCAACTGCTAAAGAGAGCAATATAATTTACCATGAGAATTTCAGCTCTCGGCTGTTCATCACCACTTAAAAACTCAAGCAATAAAAATACTAAAAAATACTAATAAAATGTAAGATAGAAAAGGCTATCAAAACCTTATAGAACTCTTGCTCTTAATTAGCAATTGATATAAGCCACATTTCTCAAGCCTACCTGTCCAAGTAACTTCCCTATAATCTTGTTGTGGAATTATAAAACTGAAATTATCCAGACATGCATATACTTGAAGCTTCTCCTTAATTCCATGCTTCCTCCTCCTCCATGTTTCTTATAGAAAGAATATTGCATGAGAACAGCATCTCATCTTACGTACATCCGCCACCACAGCAAGCTCTCTGCAGTTCCATCAAATGCCAATTAAGACTCAAACTCCAGCAACAAAAAACGCATCTAAACTTGGGTTTGCTCAAAACAAAATGTTTGTCCACGGGAAAAACAACAGCTTTTTGGTCACACTAATTTCATTTTTCATTTGCAAAACAATTACAACACACACATAAAGTCCTTCTCCTATTTTAAATATATTCTTAATAATACCTTTTTTTTTTTTTTTTTTTTTTTGAATTTTCAGAGATTCAAACTCTGTCCCCTGACCAGATAGGGTTCTCATGGGGATTAACATATATTTACTTCCATGGACTGCATAGGTAAGAGAAGAATCACAGCTGTATAAAAAGCAGTTGATATAATTGCTCACTAAACCCCTCTTAAGAGTAATTAGTCCTTACCTTTCTTTTTGGACTCTTTCTTTGTGCTGGTTTTAACAGCCACTTGAAGTTCTGTCTCAGTTGACATCCTATATCCTTAGTCCTCTTCACACAGATCCAGTATCGCGGTCAGGCTCATTTAGAACGTCTCTCCAAGAGAATAATTCAGCCTTTCAGAGACTATAACCCAAACAGTTCATTTCATTCACTCCTGTTGAGTGCTGTTAAATAAGCAAAAAAAAAAGAAAAAGAGAAAAGAAGTTATGGTTATTTTCTGAGCTTGCAATTTTAAATGCTTAAATGTAGGTAAGTGCTCCTTGAGATTATCTGGGATACCCAAGACATCTCCAGGTACCGCAAGGTGCACGGAAGACCTACATCCATCTGGAGCAGCAGCTGGAGGCCGTGGAGAATTATGGCGTGGGAAGTGGCAGGGAAGGACACAAATGGAAAAAACATGCACACACACAAAATCTGTAAGCTCTCTGTTCTTAAAGGCAGTCATCCCAAGGTAGAAACATATAGCCAGATACTAAATTCAGGATTTTATTCCTTAACTGCTCTTTCAATGCCACTTCAATGCAGCCATTCTTCTACTTGAAGAAAGTCAAATGAGAAAAGTGCCTTCACTTATAGTGAGAGCCTCACACCTCAGCCTCCCCATAAACACAACTGTGATTATGGATGTTCACCTAACGAGGTTTCCTGCAAAGGACATTGAAATCTTGGTTAATTAGCCTCCCCATTCATTCAGATAGGAGAGGGCTGCTTGCATGCGGCAAAAGGGGAGCACGCGGGGATCAAGCTACAGTTTCATACCTACAGTCATGGTGCTTTTCATCTATTGACCTTTCTTTCGGTGGAAAAAAAAAATCTCCATTACGAGCACAGTCCTGGTGCATCCATCCGAGCTGCCTGAACTGCTCTCTAGTCATTTAATAAGTACCTAAGAACACAACTAACTCAGCCCACCAGCTGGGGAACCGGCTAAAGATTAACTGCAGTTCAAACTACTAACTTTGCTTCCCTTTGATTTAAAAAACTAAAACATTTTCCAATTTGAAATAACTTTGACAGTTTAAAACACTTTTTGCAGTAAAGCCTCTAGTACAACCAAATGCAGGCTCTTTTAACATTGCAAAATGCTTCATTAACGCTGCAGTGCCACGCACGCTGCAAAGTGATTTCCTCGTCCTGAAGTGTGTCAGGGGGGTTTCGTTAACAAGCTCTCCAAACCCGTACGTGCGTTATTCAGTATGCACAGGGAGCTCTTCCATAGGCACTGAACTGATTCTGAAATGCAGAGTTGCCTGCGATGGAGCCTGAGGAAGAGGACCAGGGCAAGGGAAGGAAGAAAAGGCGGACGGCAGCGCGGAGCTGCAGGGCTTCACACCTCCTCGGGAGCTGTACAAACTCAGTCCCTTTCTTAGCAAAGGAACCAGCAGAAAAGCAGAAAGGGAGCGAAGGCTGCAGGGATCAGATGCCCCTTGTGTGCCCACTGCCCTTCGTACCCCCCTCGCCCAACCCCATTTAATAACACACTGTTTTACAGCAGGGCAGGATGTATCTGTACAGCTCCACGGCACACGCTTAGCGCATCCCAAGTCATAGCTGGATTGTCAGAGTTGATTTTTTGCTAGAACCCGGCTGTATGGTTACCTAAAGGTTAACTTAGTAACTCGGCAAGAGGCACTAATGGAAGGACTGCTTCACATACCAGAAGAAAAAGATTTACAGGACGTTGTTCATAATAAAGCAATGTAAAGGCAAATTTTAAAAGGAAGACGGAGCCCCCACAGGGTCAAGAGTTAGGCAAATTTTAATGCCTTAAAAGACTGAATTAGGGTACAAAGCACAGTGAATCTTCCCACTTGCTGTCAGCTACTTTGAGCTGGACGGCTGAAATGGCAGCATTTGAAGGACACCAAATAATTTTGGCAATATGGGACTGCTCGCTGCTTTGAAGCTCTCCAGGCAAACCATAACCCCTCAGGACAAGTCAAGCAATGCATTTAAAGAACAAATGCATGTCTATTTTTGGCCAGGTGCACACACTGATTTATTTCAAACCCTGATCAGGTCGTGCTCTCTCCATCTCAGAGATCCTTGAAAAACCTAACAGGTATCTTTGTAAAATCCAGCAATTCCGAGCTACGGTTCAAGCTGAATTTGCTACAGTGACGAATCCTCCCTCAGCACAGATCTTCCTCTAACGTAAACCTCCACGTCCTGCCCATATTTCAGCTGTTTATTACCCCGATCAGGACGCAGTCAATCTGTTCCTCACCACAACAGCCTTTGTTGTCTCCTCCGATCTAGGTCACGGTGGTTAAACACCCGTCTTCCCACGGCGGGAAGGACGGCAGCCCGGGTTTTTATCAGAGAGAGGTTATTTCCTTTCATAGTCCTGCCACGCTTCTCTCCCCGCTCTCAAGACGTAATTTTAAGTGCATTAAAAAGAATTTTAAGAAGAGAACCAACATCTTACATGTCTCCACTGCAGTGATCACCTTGGATGCCTCGTTACTGCTCCGGCTCTCACAGCGCTACGTGCCAGCTTTTCCTAAGGAGAATTCAGAGCTCCTCGTTTTAACAAAATACTGACATTTTCCATTCCCTCATTAAGTGGGTACAGCAGGAACAAAATCAGCGCATTTTGGAATTAACTGGCTTTAATTCCAGGAGCGGCCCTAAGCCTGCATGCTGCATTGCTCCTCCGCCTGCAAAAGCCTCAGTGAAAAACCCTTTTTGCAAATTCTAACTTTGCAGCCAGCAAAGTTGTGCTTTTGACAGGCTATGGAATGAGTCACATGCTTCACCATCCACAACAATCCACAACAATTTCAGGATAATCCTTCATTTTCCAAGCCATGTTTTGGCGAGCTCGCTCACGCAGGGGTACTGGGCAAGATCCTCTGCTCAGAGCTCTGAAGCAGGTCACGCAGGAGGAGCGTAACAGCTCCCTTCCGGCTGTAAAATATCTGAATTTCTTCATTTTCTTCAGGGCTTCAAAACTTCAGAGGCTCCCTGCCCTGAAACCAGTTTCCATCTGCTTATGCAAAGGCAAAGCAGCCTTAGACAGGATTTGTAACTAAGTCCTGGCATTCCCGAGGTGCTTAAGTTCCCCTCGACCCCACTGCGGTATTTGACAGCCTCTTCTCAACAGGACAGCAGTTCCCACTGGCTGCTTCCACAAAACGCTCCTCCTACCACCTTAGCTCTTGCCCTAACATATCCCAAAATGTAAGGGGCAAAATTATGAGGGAAGAGGCTACCAAAGCCTTTGCATCATCCACATGAACCCAACTTGCAGCTGCTTTTGCCAGACGTCAAGTTCTGTGACCTCCCTGCTGGAAGCCGCTTGCTGGCAGAGCATGGCTCTTGCACAACACGAATTCAAAACTTGGAATTCAAAAGCCTTTGATGGTCCAAAAGCTGTCAAAATATTTCAGTTAATAAGGCCTGTAAGCAAGAACCAGGTGTAAGGAAGATGGTTACAAGGAGGAGCTGAAGATACTGAAACAGGAGAGAAAATGAGGAAAACAAAGCAAAGAGGGGAAGATGTCTCTGTATACACTTCATTAGAACAAATTCATCAATGATGCACTTGTCAGCAAAGTCTAAACTAGCTCATATTTTAAAGCCTGGATTATGCCATGAAAGACAGAAATCTCGGTTAGACGGCACTGCCTCCAAACCCTCTTTTCTACTTTGGTCATCTGCCCAGCGAGCAGCGTCGCTGACGCTGCTTCAGCTGACAGACCCGGCTAACTCTATCATGGTACGACAACTGTCACATTTTCCTATTATTTCCTTTATATGACATTTATGTAGCCTCTAAAGATAAAAGGAAGTGTATACAGACGCCAGCTGAAATCCTGCAAGCAACTTTACTCCTCCTGCAGAAGACACACGGAAGATGAAGCACCTGGTTTAGTTCCTCAAGATCCACCCTTCCCAGCTGGAAACTCTCCTCCAAAATCCTGCATCCTACTGCTTACTTTCTCCTTTCTTCTCCTCTGTAATGTTATACAGCTTAAAAAGACTCAGAATATATTCCATGTTCTATATATTTCATATTTCTTTTCCCCCCTCACGTTTCCTGCCCGCCCACCTCAAACCCTCTCCTTCCTCTTATATGTAGAAAATTAAATAAGCTTTATTATGCTGTCTATCTATATGAGAACTATACATTATGACTAACTCTTTTTAATTCTTCCAGCATCAGACAACTACTTAGCAGTAGAGCCATAAAAGCAATTAGTCTTCTTCTGCATAAAGTTGCTATTTGTTTAGCTGTATTCATAAAACACTTTTCCTATCTCTCAAAAATAAGAAACGTGTCTTTTTTTTTTAAAGAAAAAACCTACATGTAGCTGAGGACACTGACACATTTTATTAAATTTCTTGTGGTTTACAATACGTCTCATTACTCCATCTCTAGGGAATGTGTCAGGCCCATTGCTCAGACCGTGTAACTGGCTTCCCAAGAAGCTCATTTCCCACCAGAAGAGCGTCTGGCCAAAACACGGACCTGGGGAACATTTCCAAAGCAAGATGTATATTAGTATTCCAGTGACAGCAGGAATAATCACTGAAATTCCTCCTGGAAATCGCTCCCCGTAGCAGTGAGTTCTGCACATCATCTCCCTGCTTACTCACCAGGTGTGCTGTGAACGTGACAGATTTCTTCTCCTGGAAAACACCAGCTGGATTAAAAATCTTTTCAGAAGAATGAGTCGATTTCATCAAAATCCCTTTTTTTACAGAAAGTTACTATCTTTTACCTCCATATCACTGTTTCCATTTTATATTATAGAGTACAATATTCTGGAAATAGGGTCAAAACCAAACAAATCGCTCTCGCAACAAACAGCCGCCGGCTGCCCCGTCCCATGGGGCAGGGAATGCGACTCCAGCGCCAGAGGAGAAAACCTGGACCACCAGGTATGGACACAGCTCACCCCTCCTGTAGGCACATTTTTCTGGTCCAAAACTCAGAACTCCACTAACGGGGTGTTTTCAAGCTTTTCATGAGCACTGCATAGAACCAGCACTGCTCCAAAGGGAACAGGCTTAAGAATTTCACGTCATTCCTGTAATACTCAGAGGCTGCTCCCGCCTCCAAATGCTTTTTCTTGAAAAAATTGTGTTACACCAGGACTCTGCTACCCCCGGATTACAACACTGCCAACCCTGCACGCAGCAGGAAAATTAATCC